GGCCAGGCAAAATAATCAAGTCAGTCCAGATATAAAATGTGCAAACCCACAGGAAGAACTGTTGATGTTTTTGCAAAGAGTTGACTCAGAAGAGCTGGGACAGAGTTGTACTTTGTGCTCTATCACTTTATAAAATATGAAGTCTTTGGTGGTTTTTAAAGGGTGTCATGTGCCATTCCTTCTTTTTTTAAATTGCTCTGTTTATTTCTAAATAAACAAAGTGGTGCTCAGTAGATATTTGGTTGAAGGGCTGAGTTGATTCCTGATGCATTGAATAATTTTATCTATCTATCTATCTATCTATCTATCTATCTATCTATCTATCTATCATCTATCTATCTATCATCTATCTATCTATCTATCATCTATCTATCTATTGCACTTGGGAGTTACGGGTAGCATGGGAGGAGAGGAGCAGAGGGAGAGGGAGAGAGAGAATCCCCAGCAGGCTCCATGCCCAGGGCAGAGCCTGACTTGGGGCTCAATCCCATGACCCTGAGATCATGACCCCAGCCGAAATCAAAAGTCAGATACTTAACTGACTGAGCCATGTAGGTGCCCCAATGCATTGAATAATTTGAAAAGGATCAGGGGCTTCGGTTGATTTACAGGGAGAATAAGTGCATATGGGACTCAGAGTTCTACAAGTGAGTTCTAAGGAACTGGGTGAAGGGCCAGCCGGTGGAAAGTCTAAGCAGCCGTTGGGGAGTGCAGCCTGGGCAGCCATCTTGCCTTCTCAGGGGAAGAAGGAAGGCTTCTCCCTCAGCCCAGCATTCATCACTTGTTCCAGGAATCCCCTTGGCCTGGGGCTCAGCAGCTATTTTTGGTCACTGAAAGCGCCCATTGGCCCTTAAGGCCCGAGGTGGTTTGAAGAGACCTGGGATTGACGCATCAACTTCATTCCAGTTTCAGTCAATGTTCCCCTTTTCCAAAGGACAATAGTCTGCAAGTTTCTGTCCTTCTCCCCTGTGTTCTTCCTCTGTCTGTGGGCGGTAGCTCACTGTCCTCTGGGAACCTCCGTGCCCTGTGTAGAGTTTAGAGTAGGCATACATGTGTACACACATTATTTTATTTAAGCCACCTTACCACCCTATTTCCCTCATGAACCAGAGAGATTACCTGAGTTGACCAAGGTCACAGAGCTAGAAGACGGCACCTGCTGATACTCCTCTCCAGGGCTTTTGACTTAAGTAACGTATTTCCGTCCCCTTGTTCCATAGTGGCCCCATTTTGATGCTATTTCACTGCTGGGTGGGGCGGTTCCTGCTTCTGCACTTTGGTGTCAGACCCCCCCCCCCCCGGGGGGGAATTTTAGGTCCCCCCCCTCTAATTACAGGGGGGGACCTGAGGTGACTTGCTGAGCTTTTCCCAACCCCCATTCCCCTTCCCTGTTGATAAGAATCATAATTCCCCTTTACAGGATTGTCTTCTCCCTTAGATCATGATAGATAGATGATGATGTCCTCATGTGTGGAAAAAGCAGACTGAGTTAAGATATTATTTTGCAAGTCTGCACGTGGCTACTTCACCTCAAATGTGGCAGGGATGGTGTTGTGGATGGCCCTGAGTTGGTTAATTTTTAGCAGTGGGGCCAAGTCTCCCTGAGCCCCCCTTCCTTGTCTTGGAAAAGGCCGTCCTAACGTCCCTCCAAGGGGTGCTTTGAGGATTCACTGAGATTATGCACATAAAAGCCCTCTATGTGAATTTTAGTCACCATACGGATGCTAGTTCGCCTCATTAGAATCAATCTTATTATTTCCAAATCCGGCCTCTCAGCTTAGACTTTTCCAATTCAGCACCAGGTCTCTATTTTCTCCCCTCCTAGGAGCAGAAGATGAGAAACGTTAGAGATGTTTGCACGCTTCCACCTGGCTCCTCCCTCCCTCCTTCCTGCCCTGGTGTATTTGGGGGCTTCTTCACTGTGGGGCTTTCAGCACGATCATCCTCTTCAAGCTGGGCAAGGCTGCTATAGTCTCCCTTTTGCTTGAGCAGAAAGTCCCAGAGGAGCAGGCTGTCCCCAAGAGTTCACTTCAGGGGCTCTGGGAAGAAGGTAGGGGCAAGATGGAGTAAGACCACGTAGGTTCTATTTCATCGGGTCCTGAGCCCTTAGTGATGCCCTTGGCATCCTAAGAGGTGCTTTGTAAATATTCAGTTAACGTCTGCCGGACCTGGCGGCAGGGAGAAGGGCCAGATAGGGAGAGCTGATGGAAAGGCAGGAAGTGTGGCCAAGGAATTCTGCTCTTCTCCCAGCTGCTTTCAGACAGGTTAATGGTAGACTGCTCTGGAAGCTGTAACCCTGAGACCAGGGCTCCCCAGCCCACAAACAAAACTCCCCGTTGTTTTCATTTCATCTTGCAGGCAAATGCATCAGCTATTTGAAAAAAGCAACCCCTGACAAACACTGACAAACCAAACAGATCCAGAAGCTCAGCACATTCTTTTCTTCTAGACCCTCCAAAGTGCTAATACACTGTTTACATCTAAATGTGGCAACAGTCAAACAAAGAAAGTCAATGTGAGTGGGTTATGCTGGGCACCTCCTCTCTACAGTGCCATCCCTCAGAGTCGTGGCCTTAGCGATTTCACATGGGAAGTTGTGCACAGTCTCTTTAAAGGCTCTTCTTCCCTATGGGGGCCCAGCATACTCTCACCTACCTGCCCTCTCCTGAACCGGGCTCTAACCCATTAAGCTGTTCATAATCAGTCTATTTCATTTTACGTAGCTGAGATCCATATCCTTCCCATTTCCAAAAGGATTTAAGGGCCCTTTAACATTTCAAAATAAAATAAGGAAATGGTGGGTGAAAATAGAACGGAGACCTTATAAAATGAGTAAGACAGTTGATGTTACAAGGCACCTGAGATGACCTAATTCTTGTAGTTAAGTCAGTAAACTAAACCCCGACTCTGTGGTTAGACCAGAAGGGAGCACATGTTGCTCACCTAGCTCTCATTATCTGTCTGAAATTGGGGGAGGGTAGGAAAGTGATATACAAAACTATTTGTAGAACTTAATTATTTCCTAAAGCTATACATTAAAGAGACGCTATTCAAATACAGTTATTCTGTGAACAGTCTCAAGAGGAGTCTGTACACAGAACATGCACGGCCAGTAACCTCTCGGCCCCGGAGCCCTGCCGGCCTTTCACCTAGCATATGCCTTAGCATGTGCTGTTCCCTTTGCCTTGAACGGTCCTCCCAGCGGTTCCTGCACCATGCAGTTAACCTTACTCATCCTGCCAGTTTCCATCAGGGAAGGCTTCGTCTCCCATCCAGGCCAGGAGAGGTTTTCAGAGTACTCTGTACTTTTTCTTCAGACCACCTACCATAGTTTATGTTTATTGACTTGCAGGTGTCATTATTGAGTGTCCATTTTCCTCACTAGACATAAGCTCCTCGAGGGCAGGAACTGTATGTGCTTTGCTCATTCCTGTATCCTGCATCTCACACAGTGCCTGACTTATTGTGATAATCATAATACCAAGATAATGATAATATCTTGGTATTATTAAGTTATTAAATGCTAGGAACTCTTCTCTGTGTTTGTCACTAACAATTCATTTGAGCCTCTGAATAGCCCTTTGGAGTAGGGGTTGCTATTGTCCTCCTTCAATAGATGAGGAATAGAGGTAGAATTCTGAGGTTCCGAAAATGCCCAAAGTCACCAAGCTATTGGGCTAAGAAGCTTAGAAGGTGAACTTGGACAGTCTGAGTTCCTAATGCTTGTTCAGCCCCAAATATCTGTTGAATGAATGAATGAATTCTTGATGATAATACAACCCAAGAATTTTGCTTTCTGATCATTTCACTTAAAGAACTAGGACCTGAAGAATCAGAATGAACGCCATAGTTGACTATTAAAACACTCTCTCTGAGCTCTCAGACGGATGACTTGATGGAGCATTAGGTCAGGGTGGAACCACAGGCAATTAAAATGATCGAATGATCTGAAAAATGACCACTGCGACTGTGGGGCTGATGGGCCAATTGCCTGGCATCAAAATCCCATATCTAGGGGCTCCTGGCTGGCTCAGTTGGTAGAGCATCCGACTCTTGAATTTCGCTCAGGTCATGATCTTAGGGTCATGAGGTCAAGTTCCGTGCTGGGCTCCACGCTGAGCATGGAGCCTGCTTCAGATTCTCTCTCCCTCTCCCTCTGCCGACCCCCTCACACAGTCTCTCTCTAAAAAAAAAAAAAAAAAAAAAAAAAAATCCTATATCTAAAGTCTATACATATATATGTGAGCTAAGCTGTCATTTTGTTTTGAAATTATAAGTATCGGACTTACATTTTTTTCCAGAGAGAAAGAAAAGGAAACTAGATAAATGTCTGCTAAGCTGACAACAAACTGTGGGTAGAACCTCGCACGTAGAGCCATTGGGGAGATTCACAGGTAGGGTTAGAGCCAATATTTTCCTCAAAAGAGAACAGGAACTCTTATCAAGCTCTCCCACATGCACTTGGGAAAGACCCCCGAGTTCTACACAAGACAACTGAGAGAGATTACTTTAGTATGAAAAATTATTAAGGCAGGTGCTACCCAACACGGTTTGTTCTCCACCGGGGTCCTCTAAGGCCTATGGGATATCTGATCTGAAGGAGAGCCATATCCTAATAAGCATGCCAGGATTTGATACCTGAAAAATGTACTCAGAAGATGCTGGATGGCTTGCCTGTTGGATAAGGTTGTTTATGATTATGCTTTCTAATACTGCTGGTGGTGGAGGGAATGATTTCCTTTTGATGCATCCCATGAAGAGTTGCTCCTTCTGTAGTAGCAATCAATTAATGGGTCCACTTGTTTCTAGCAAGCACATGACAATTATATAAGCTTTGTAACATGGACTCTGTTTATTCACAGTGTGAACCATCTCATCCAAATATTTATGAAGTGAGAAGGTACATATCTTGAACTAGCCCCAAGGATGAGTTCAAAGTAAAAAGTATGAAACTGCTCTCAAGGTACTTATAATCAGTAGGTCTTTCATCCATCTGTATGACATTTATTGAGCACCAAATATGTGTCAGAAAATACAAAGAAGCAAAAGAGACAGTGTGGTGTCCTGGATAGAGGAGTCTTGACTTTGGAGTTGTATCTATTACTGCTAATCATCCGTCTGCCTCTGGGAGTTTATCTGAACACCCAGAACATCAGTTTTCTCATCTGTAAACTGAGGATCCTGTGCGTAGTCTGCAGGACTGTTGTACAGAATAGAAATAATATAGGTATCATTGTCTAGCACATAGGCAGTACCCATTAAATTGTTTGTCTTCACACATAATTGCTATCCTTGAAAAGCCACATCATAATGGAAGATGGACCTTTATAAACAGATAGTTACAACACAAGTTGGCATTGATTTTGACATTGTACAAAAATTATATTGTGCAAAGGAGCAGAGACCCAGAGAAGAGCAAGGAACAAACTCCTTCTGCCTGAGGAATCAGAGAGGGCCCTCCAAAGGGGCCTGTGGTCTTTGGAGGTAGGTCTGGAAGGATGAGTAAGCTTTTGTTGGGCGGAAAAGGGGGAAAGTTATTCAAGCACAGAAACATAAAACAGCTAGTGCTGCTTGTTCCGGGGAAGGTGAGAAGGTCAGTGCATTCAGACTGTAGGATGTCTGTGATGGGAGGGGCACACAGTGGGAGATGAGGCTGGAGAGCTAGATCAGGCCCTCTACAGGCTGTCCACAGAGACTTAAGACAAATTCCTGATAAAATGGGTCCCCTTTGTTTCATTAGAGAATGTTCTATTTTTAGTGACCAGATTCCATGATTTCCTCTCGCAAAATGTTTTCTTTTGTTTCCCTGAACAATCTCACATTACCCGTTCTTTGAACACATAGTTCTTATGTTCTTAGAATCAAACAGTAGCCCAATGTTTCTGAGAATTCCCTGGGAGCTGCTCTGGCAATTTGGGATAATTCTCTGTTGCGTCTGTCCATTTTCCTGCCTTTCCAGCCTGCATTGTTCAGGCTCCCGTGCCTTCCATGGGGGCCTTGGGCACCTCTCAATTGGTTCCTTTGTGCCGAGTAGAAAGGCAGGTGTGAGCCGTGATTGATGGCTGGTTTACATGGTGACAGGGAAAAAAAACCTGCTGGCTGTGCATTTTTTTCCTGCCAGAGGCCCAACCATTCCTGTACCAGGACTTCCTTGTTAGAGAACTCCTTTAAGCTGCTTCCCTTGGAATTTTTTATGATATTTTCCAACTGTCAAATAGAAACACATTTGAAAAAAAAAATCTATTAATTTGATTCAGATCCTGAGGGGAGAAACAATGACTGAAGGCTTGAGTAATCTTTTTCTTTTTCTTTCCATATTAAGTTACACGTTAAATTATGTAGAGGCTATTTTAGTTTTGAGGCGGGGTGGGTATCATGATGACCAGGGGAGCTTTTAAAAAAAAAAACAAAAAACTCCCTGGGCCTCAGTCTTCTTCCCCCTCCGACCAGGGATGTCCATTCAGACAGTGTGTATAGGGAGAGAGGCCCGGGAATCTGCGCTACCAGGAGCAGAGTCATTCTTCAGGCAACCGGGATGTGCAGCCCTAGCTGAGAATCTCCGGTCCAGGGAGGGGGTGGGGCTACGAGGAGTCCTCCGGGTTCCCATCGGCCCCTGCGCCCACAGCGGATGTCCTGTCATGCCCAGATCCTTACTGAGCATCTACTGTGTGTCCGCGTGCTCTGAGCGCCGGAGACGCAGGACAGACACCATCGCTGCCCTCCTAAGGCTTCCGTTCTGGGTGGGAGACGAATGACAGATAGCATGAGGACGCAGCATACACGAGCTTCTGCAGCTTGCCAAGTAGGCAAAAACGAGTGGATGATGTCTTTTATTTCCTTACTTCCTCCCTGTTGATGTATCCAATCTGGCTTTCGTTCCCAGCTTTGCCAGTCGTCCATTCGTGGGCCCCACTTTCTCTAATTTGCCAAGTCTGGCGGAAGCATTTCAGTTCTGGTCTCGCTTGGCCGGTCTGTGGTGTTCAGTACTAGGCGTTCCGCAGTCGGTAGGTAGCTACTGTGCGAAGTCCTTTATATGTTTGGTTGTTTTCCATTTCTCACAACAACCCAAGATAGGCATTATTACATGGGGCACTCAGGCACAAAGCAGGCAAGTACTTGGCTCAAGATCACACAGCTAGTAAGTGGAAGAGTGGATTCTTTTCCCCATACACTCTCTGCCTTCCCAGCCTAGGTTTTCCTGTTTCCAACCTGCTCCATCTGCTCTGATCATTCATTTTCCAGTGGCTCCGCATGCTCATCTTCCTCTGACAAACCTTTAGATATTGGCATTCTACACTCACTCTCTCATTCCACACTTTCCCCAGGAAATCTTAATTCTCCTATTTTTCTCTATTGCCTGTATCCCTGGTGACTCCCAAATTCACACCGCTGGGCCAGACCTCTTTTCTGACCTTCCGACGACCTAACTGTCATGCGTACTTGGTATCTGGTGGACGCTTTTCTTTTGCTCATTCAGCAAGTGAGTGTGTGCATGTGTCAGGTACATGTGGTTGCCATGGAGAGTGTAGCACGAGGCCGACGGGACCACGGAGTTTAGTGACCCACTGCAAACACGTGTGTCTGCCTGAGCGCACGCACTATCTCATCTTTCCTTGCAAACTTGCTCATCCTCCTCTGTTCTCCATTTCGGTTGCTAATACAATCACGGGGTTGCCTTTAATTTCCTGGTCCCCCTCAGGACCCGTGTCCCAGTCTATCTCCTACGGACCTCTTGACTCCATTCCCTCCTGGTCTTCATCATGGCCTCGGGGTCAGTTCTCACCTGGTAAGTTTAGTTGGCTTGTCTCCCAGTTCTCCATTCCTCCCTTTCACTTTTGACCCCGAATCCTCCAAAGTGCAAACTTGATTGTGCCTCTCTCCTCTTTGCAGCCTCTGGTGGGCCATCTATTAGGCCTTTCTTCCATAGGGATGGATCTTCTCCTTTTTGTGGGAATCCACTCCTGGTGGCTGGCCCTGCCGCACCCTCTTCTTATGCACTCCATGCTCCCGGCCACAGTGATTCGTTCCAGAATGGGCAAGCCAGGGCCAAGCAGAAATATCCTATGTGGGTGTTGGGAAGGCATTGGTTTCACTCTCGCTCTGGGACCTGAGCTGTCTCTTTTGCTCCTCATGGAGAAAGTCTCTCCAAGTACAAAGGCAATGCACGGAAGGAAGCAGAGCTAAGCACAAAGCCAAGACAAGCTGTCAGGACATTGTTTGAGTTCCTGGATTTAGTAACACATGAACCCAGCTTTACCCATGGACTTCAGCAATCACAGGCGTCAATATATTTCCTGTGTCAGAATCTCAGTGTTGCCACTTACTGACTTTGGGCAAATTACTGAACCCATCTATATTTCAGTTTCCTCATCTCTAAACTGGACATAGTAATAACACTTCGTTCATGGTGTTATGATGAAGTTAATGTACACAGAGAATGTAGACCATTGCCTGGGACACAGTTAAGTGTTCGGTACGTGTAAACTCTTAGTGGTGTTGTTATTATGATTTGACTTAATTTGCCTCGGGTTTCTGTAACTTGTCACTGGAAGAGTCCCAAGGAATAATACTGAGTCCAAATGCTGTCACCAGTTTACAAGGCTGATTTCCTACCACCTCCCCAACTGCTCCCTGATACCCTTTGTTCCCTTGGCACACTTCTGTTAAACTTTCAAAGCTCCCCAAACATTTATGCTGCTTTGGGCCTTGTTTGTATGTGTACAATGTTCTCTCTGCCCAGAATGCTCTTCCCCATTCCCCTGCAGAGTCAGGTAAGAGGATTCGAAGCAGCAAGAAGCAGCTAACTCAGGACACATTCAAGATTCGGGTCTCATTAAGCCACTGATGATTGGTGATGTCTAGCTAAGTCTCAATGATTTGGTCCCTGCGTTTTAAAAACAATTCCCTCTTCCTTGATGCTCAAATGTATAACGAGTTCTGTGGATTCATTGACAACAAAGTATTCCTTACTCAGCTCAGGTCTGAGATGAGACGACTAGGTAGCCAGTTAACCATCCCCACCTTCCACTGTCAGAATGGAGAAGACATTCAAATCACCACAAGAATGCTTGGAGTCACGCTCAGCCTTCTGACCAGATGGGCAGTGACACTAAGAAATGGGATATTAAGAAGAATGTGCTTCCTTTCTTAGATCTTAAGAGGGGAAAAGCCAGATACCTTCCTTGTCCAGCTCCCTGACTCCCACACCTACCTTTCTAAAAACTCCAGAGTTTAAACCCTGACAGCAGCCAGATTAACTTAACTAGATCTTTAACAGCAACACTATTTCTGCATTGTCTCTAAGGCCCCAGCTACGTTTCTAGAACATTTGGGAACAGTAATAAAATCAAGATGCTTCTTCTGTATTTCAATAGGAAGATGCTGTCTCTGGGTCTATATCCCTCAGGGTTTGTTTTACTGGTGGGGACAGACAAATAATGTGAAGCATCACCCCAAAAGCATTTTCCTCATTTAAACTTTATTCTATGTAATTTACCTCAGGCCTGGAAAGGTTTGGCTAGGGCAGAGGAGAAATGGCCGTGTTCTTGCCAGAGTCCAGCTTGGCCAGGTTCCCCAGACACTGGCTGGCTCCTGGGCAGGAGAGTTTGGATGAAAGACGTGGACACAAACACAGTCATCTTTCCACTTTCCACAGTCACCTTTCCAGACTTCTATTCGGACAAAGACTGTGACGGGGTCTAAAAGTGAAAACGTTATGTACTAGCTGCAGGCACATCCCCGAGTGTGTGCATATGGCCTAAATTAGACCACCTAAGTAGGCGGTGCGCAAAACCTAGAAATGGCAAGAAAAGAGCTGGATAATGAGAGGCAGCAGCTCATGAAGCAGCCCAGTGGCAGAGAGCACAGCATCCCCAGAAGGGCATCCTGGGGGAGAAGGGCACCCCTGATCCCTTCCCCTTCTCTCCCCTCCAGTCCAGTCCTCCCAGCTGCTCTATGGGACCTGCAGTACCTGACTCACAGCCCAGACCCCAGCAGCCTAAGAGGTCACGTTCTCTTTGAAAACGCTTCTTCATTGATATGTTTATATTTTCTAAAGATTTTATTTATTTATTTCAGAGAGAGAGAGCACAGCAGTGGGGAGAGGTAGAGGGAGAAGCAGGCTCCTCCCTGAGCAGGGAGCCCGATGATTCACGGGACTCCATCCCAGGACCCCGGGGTCATGACCTGAGCTCAAGGCAG